CTCTACAACAAAATTAGAAATAAGGGCAAAATAGTTTCTGCCTGGTAGCGAGGGGGTGGGGGATAGAGGGAGGGGACAGGGTAGGAAAGGGAGGGAGAAATGACCCAAACATTTTATGCACATATGAATAAAAGAAATAAAATAAAAAGAAAAATAAAAAAAGAAGGTTAGTTTCCCATCTGCAGAAAAGAGGCAGAGAACTATCAAGACTTCTCTTCAAACCTGAACCATAAAAGTTGTTAGGAGTCCTTGGTTAAGTTGAAATAAATTAGTGTTTTCTTAGGAAACAGGTTAAACAAAGATACTGAGCTGGGAAGAATTCGGGGAGTGGACATAGGAGATGGGGACCCATGGTTTCAAACATAAGTGTTGAGTTAAGGCTAAAGCCTAAAATCTAGGCATCATTTTTTATTTTTGTCACTTTCTCCCCAGGAGTAACCCCCATCCCCATCCTTGATAGAGAAAATGAATCTCAACCCTCCTTCTCTCCATCCTCTATCCAAACTACCGTTTGCCTGGGACTGACCACTCAGACCACTCTCCTGCTACCTACACCTCCCACCCCATAGCTGGGATTACAGGCAAGCCCCACCACACTGTCCTGATCATTTCTCCTCTGCTTCCATCCTGTGAACCCTCCTCATCATCACCTGGTCCACACCCAGGGTCCTGTGTACCTGTTTTTGCCACTGGCACCAAATTGTCTGCGCACCGCTCCTAGCAAAGACAGGTCCTCTGTGTGCACTCTGAGGGGCTTGAGGAGACCCTGCCCATCTCTCTAGGTCTGTCTGGCACTGCTGCTTGCTGGCTGTGTTTCGTACCAGCTAGCTTTCCTCCACGTGCTTGTCCTGGTGCTAATCCCTGCCAGAGGCCCTGTGCACCCCCCTACCTGAAGGCACCTTCCCCTCCATCCAAGCCAGCGGTTCCTTCTTTTTTCTTTTTTTTAAATTTTTATTTTATTCATATGTGCACAGAGGTTCCTTCTTATTGGGTGCTTCCATGCTTGCCTCATACCTCCACCTCTCAGAGACTCCTTCCCTGACCTCTGACCTCTGACCTCTCAGTCACAGCTACTGAGTCATTCTGTTTTCATTCCTTTTCTTTCTTCTCTGTGGGACTGGGGTTTGAACTCAGGGATTCACACTTGCAAAGCAGGTGCTCTACTGCTCCAGCCCCACCTTCAGTCCATTTTGCTCTGGTTATTTTAGAGATGGGGTCTATGGAACTATTTGTCTGAGCTGGCCTCAAATTGTGATTCTCACATTCTCAGCCTCCCCATAGTTAGGATTACAGACCTGAGCCACTGACACCAGCTCACATTCCTTTTTTAACTCTTGGCTTTGTTTTATTGTTTGATGGCTTGCCTGTCTCTCTCCCCTAGTATGCAGGCTTCTGAGAGCAGGGACCTGGCTTGTCTTGCTCACTGTGTTGCCAGTCGCCACACGGTGCTGATTCAGGGGAGGGCTGAGTATTTGTGGCTTTTATGATGGAAACTGCTGCTCAGCCGAGCATCGAGAAGCATTGGTGACCCCTGGGTGTGGAAGCCGTGGACAGTGCGTCTCTTGGTGGGCTTTCTGCCTAGCCCCCCACTTCCACTGGGGTCTGACTGCTGCCTTCCGTTCCCTTGCAGCCGCCCATGCCAACTTCCGTTCCCGTCGACAGTGCAGCAGCACAGCCCCATGTCCTCTCAGACCTCCTCCGTCAGCGGGCCGTTGCACTCTGTCTCCCTGCCGCTTCCTCTCCCGATGACCCTGGGTCCACAGCCTCCGCCAGCCTCCCCCAGCCAGCAGCTTGGCCCTGATGCATTTGCCATCGTGGAGCGGGCCCAGCAGATGGTGGAGATCCTAACAGAGGAGAATCGGGCACTTCACCAGGAGCTTCAGGGCTACTACGACAATGCTGACAAACTCCACAAGGTGCGTGACTTCGGGGGAGCGAAGCAGCTGCTTCCCTGGGGAGGAACAGTCTTTGCCTGCTCATGAGGCCTTATTTGCTGACTCACTTGCCAGCATTTAACCAGTCCTCTTATGCCAAGCACTGTGCAAAGCTTTAAGGAGGCAAAAATAAATATGACTCGTGCCTGCCCCGCAGGAGCCTACGGTTGGAAAGGAGAGGGAGTTACACAAGCCAGCACCTGCAGTGAGTGTGGAGAGGTTACTAGGTAGGGACAGTGAGTTGGCCCTTGGCCAGGGACTCAGAGGTCAAGTAGGATTTCCCCAGATGTGGAAGAGGGAGCACAAAGAGTAATACTGGGGAATGAATTGAGAGACATGGGTGTTTCTTTAAACCTGGGAAGCTCAGAAGCCTGTGTTTGTCACATTTGTCTCATTAGCTGGTGGCTAGTGAGGTATTGACCCAACACTGGGGGGTCAAGAGCTCAGTTGCAGTGTTTTCTTATGCTTGCCTCATCAGGTGGGAAACACTGAATCATTGCAGCCCTAGCAGGTGTCATGGGGATAGCAGAGCATGTGGCAGCTGTCATCCTTACAGTTTTATGCTAAGAATAAATAAGAGAACATCATCTAGCAAGAGTAAACGCCATGGGGCAGAGATCTCATTACCCACAGGTCAGCAGCTGCTGTGCTGCAGGATGGAAGAAGGTAATGGCGTGGCTTAGGGCAGGAGAGCCACAGGTCCTCAAGTTTTATTTCTGAGGGCAAAGAGGCACATGTGGTAGGAGTGGTCTAATGAGTCTTGAGTGCCTGGCTCTGTCCATGGCAATAAGTATCTTTTGTAAGGAGAAAGAGTAGGACTATAAACCCTCCCTGACTATAGGAGCATTGTTCCCTTTGGCTCCATATGGCAATTAATAAGCCTGCCTGAACCAGTTTCTTTTCATTACTTAGTATTGACTTCCCAGGTAAGTCTGGTCTCTTTGCTGGTCAGTTCCTGAGGGCTGGCAGTACAAAGCTGGAAACAGTGGGCCTGATGATGCAAATGTTCACAGACAGAATTGCCCAGGCACACGGGTGTAAACCTTCCACTGAGAGGGTCTGGAGCTCCTTGGAGCCAAGACCAGACTTGGCCCAGGGAGCTCTGGTTGCCTGTATTGCAGGGGAAAAGTGAAAGCCAGAAACACACAGGGCTGCCTGAAGATTGCACTCCTCCCACTACACTTGAACCTTAGAAGTTGAGAAACAGGCATTGCCTCCTGGCCCTTGGCCTGTGTAGCTGCTCAGACCCCCGCTTGCTTCTGATGTCTCCCAGGGCAGCTGCTCCTTGGTACATCCTGAACATAAGGAAAGGCCGAGTTAGCCCTTCTGCTAAAGAAACAAGTATTTCTTTCCTCTCCACAAATGAAGCTCCATGACTGACATACCCACCTGAGGGCAGACTTGGTGCCCAGCCTCTTCACGAGGGCATGGACATGGATGGTGTGGAAGAGTCTTTGACTCTTTCATTAATATATTTTTATTGACAATAGCATACATCTCTTTCTTGATTTTGATGTACTTTTCTTTTTTGAAACGTAAAATCTCCCAGTGCATCAATTTCTCTGCACAGAAGATGATCCTTCAACTTTGTGGCAAAAAGGATTTACATGACTTCTGAAAAGGGAAACAAATAAAAGGTGTTTTCCTTCTGGACCCCATAATCCCTCACTCCCCTGGACATTATCATGGTTCTGTAAATACTACATTTTACTGTTCTGTCATATATCAAGCCAGAATTAACCATTTGCAACCTCAGATTTTGCCAGGATTCTTGCAATACTCATTATTAGTGCTATAGTTGATTTCAGCAAGTAGGACCAAGAGATAGAAGGGCTGCTTGAACTTGGTGTATAGTATTCCATGCCTTATGTCCCTAAGGTCATCCTAGATCCTTTCTCACCATCCTTGCTGCTGTGTTCTTAGCAGACATGTAAGTCTTAGTTCTGGGGAGAGGGTGGTCAGGTGAGACAATGACTTGGCTTTTCAGTGAGGATAGTTGATGCAGTAAAAAAGAATGACTAAAATCAGAGACTGCCCAAGCCCAGCCTCATTTCCAAAGAGGCACAGGTGGTGGTTGCCACTGTTAGCATCAGCAGGTGATGGGGAGGACTCCCAGAAAGAGCTGTGGCTATTGTCCTTCCTTTTGGTTGCTCCTTTTGCTTCTCCATCCTCCCAGCTTCCTTGGAACCTAATTAATGACTTTCCACCAGGACCCAACTATGGGCTCTTGAATGTGGCCTCAGAAGCCATCAGAGGAGAGATGGACACTGGAAGAGGAAGGTCTGAGCTTTGAGTTGCCCCTGACTTGCCCTAGTGAAGACCCTCTTCTTTTGAGGGTGAGACAAAGGTAGCTGTAATCAGGCAGGCTGTGATCTGGACAGCAGCTTGTGTTTGGTCACATGCACCCCTGAGCTGTGCAAGCAAAGGTGCTGGGAAAAGTTGTACCTGGAGCTTGGAGCAGCTGTCATTGTCTCATGGCCTTCTCTGCTCATTTCTTTATGACAACTACACCAGTGGAAGCTGTGCAGGAATCTCCACTCTGCTGTCGTTCTGCTCTGAGGCACGAACGCTTCTCTTACAGTCCAGGCTTAGTGCTCCCTGCACCTGGCTGCAAGGGAAGATGGGAGCGAGGGAAACCCAGTATTCTCTAGATGTCTCAAACTCGGAGTCTGAGCAGTTCCCATGGTTTTACATCAGAAACAGCCATCCATTCTTCCCTTCATCTTCAGCAAATGTCAGGGGGCTTAAGATGCTCTGGACGTGGAGAGTCTGAAGAGGTGTGGTTCCCGCCCTTAAGGAGTGTACAGTCAGAAATAAAAGAGCTTCAGTCTTAAAACTCCTCTAATCTCACATCCCACTCCTTAGGAGTCCTTGCTTCCCATCCTTCATTTTTTACTTGAATATTTCCAGAGAAGAAGAGCTCACTATTGGGTGTTCTACGCTTCTGAAAAATGTAATTAGGAAATTCCTCCTTGTGTTGAATCAGTCTGCATCTCTTTAGCATCCTATATTTAGTCATAGCTCTTTCCTCTAAAACCACACTGAAGACGGCTAATGATTCTCCCAGAAATACCTCATCCTGAACACAGTCCCTTGCCCTTCTGATCACATAGCCATGTGCCAATTCTGGATTATTTTATCCTTTAGTATGGTAAACTGTGCCATGGTAGGGGTCCTAATGTTTTCGCTTCTCTGTTCCTTTTTCTTTCTTTTTTTTTTTTGAAACAGGGTCTCACCACTATGTAGCTTAGGCTGACCTGGAACTCACTACATAGTTCAGGCTAAGCTCAAACTCCTGATCCTCAGCCTCCCCTTTCTAGTACTGGATTACAGGAGTGTGCTACCATACTGGCCTGAAGTTTTCTCTTACGGTGTTCAGAGAGAAGTTGTTTGTGAAAGGGAAGCCTCCATAGTCAGGTGTAGCTTACCAGAGCCCTTGATTGTTATAGATTTATATGCAAAATTGCTGTTATATATAATAAATATAACAGTCTGTTATACACATGAAATCACCAGGATTTGGTTATGGATAGAATGTAGGTTAGGGCAGTATAATAGTTAAGAGTCAAACCAGAGACGCAAAGCGTGTGTACACATCACAATTCCAGTGCAGTAAGTACAGCAGATGGAAGCACCCTGCAGCCAGATCCCAGGAAGCCTCCTGTGGACAGTGTGGTTCACCAGGGCTTCCTGGGTCCTGGGCTTTCGGGCTTGCGGGGTGAGCAGCTCTCTCATGGGTGAATGTCAAGGGCATATGAGCCCTCAGCCTTCTTAGCCTCCAGGGGATGCCCTGCAGCCTTGAAGGGGACTAATCCTGCATATGGCCGCCTGTCCAGAAACAAAGTCCCCCTTGTATAGATAAAATTAGAATAGCAGTGGTGATGTTTTTGAGTGGTCTCCTTTGAAAATCAAATTAAAAGGGAGGAGCATCATTTGTGGTGGCACTGTGAACACGATTCAGGACATGCTGTGATGCTCTGTGCTGCTATGTTCACAATCTCTGGAGAGATAGAAAGGCCGGTTGAAACAGGAGACAGTGGAGAGCCAACTCTGATATAAGAAACCTTAGGAAAAATAACGTGGTAGCAGAAGGAGCCTTGGCATCTTAACTGCACCTCTGTTGACGTTGGCTGGCTCTAAGCAGAAGTCCAGTGCTCTCCAGCCTCTTTGTCCTCTTCCCAGACCATCGTGGTTCCACTGTAACCTTTGGGAGCCATGATGTCATTCTTTTTTTAAGTTTTTGGCTTCTTGTACCAAGGCACCACTGGCTTCAGTCTCTTTCCCTGGTTCTTCTGCCCCACCCCCTTCAGCATAAGCACTCCCTGACCTTTGACCCTGCAGTCCTCTGCCGATGTCTCTGAGTGGTCTCCACTTTGTGGTCATTCGTCGTCTGTTTGCCATGGCATCACATCCGTTCTCCTGACTCTCAGACCTGCTAATGGGAAGTCTGATGCCTGCGGGCCTCACACGGTTTCTCCAAAGTCAAACTGGCTTGCTGTTCTTCCCTGTCATCATTTGTCTTGGTGACATTGTGTTACCCATTATGAACTATCAGTGTCTGTGCAGTGCTTTGATTTTCTCTCTCTCTTACTGTGTGGAGCCAGTCACCAAAGCCTAGTTCTGCTATTCTGAGTCCTCGTAATTAATCTGTTTTTGTTCTGTCTGCTGTCACTGAACTCTTTACATAAGCTTCTTTCTGGGATTTGTTTCCTCCTGCCTCCTCCCTCTGTCCCCATCCTCCAACTCCATCCTTTAGCTTCATCTCTATGAAATGCTGACAAGGTCAGGCTGCCCTTCTTAGAACCTGTCCCTCCTGCGTCCCTCCAGTAACTCTCCCTTGCTGTAACTTGAAGTCCTTCTTTTGGTCCTTAAGCTTTTGGTCCTTCCACCTGGCTCT